CCCAGCTCAACTGAAATTGTTTTCTTTAGCTATGCTGACGTTACAATTAGAGACCTAAACCCTCAGAGTAGGTAGGTGAAAAAGGAATGCAATTCATTCTATTATGTTTAAGAGGAATTTGAGAATGGGTCTGGAAGTACTATCTGGCACCAGCTGATAGGAGGTAGAAGCAGACCCCTATATTTGGACTCTCGAAGGAAGACAGTAACCAAATTGCTGTCACGAAAACAGCGGTTAACACTTCACATTAGGGGGGAAAGCTGGAGACATTCAACGAGCTTTAACAGATACCTATTATGTGAGAGTAAAAAGACGAAATGGGCTGTTTTTATGAAGTTAAGGCTCTAATAAAAAGATAAACGTAATTTGAGAGAAGTGCTATGGGAACACAAAGTAGGGGAACATCCGAACAGCGCAGGGTGTGTTGGTGAGGGCTTCCTGGAAGCGATGGCACCGCTGAGCCAGGCACTCAAGTTTGCCAGCAAAGAAAGGAGGGAGGGCCTTCTTTCCATGCGTTGTGGCATGGGCGGAGTTATGAGCAGCGTATGCTGAGGCAAATACAAGTTCTGGACAGAAGATTAGTGTCACTATAAGGAGAGGAACACAAGCACCAAATAGTCTCTTCGGGTGGACAGGATACATTTAGGAGCTTTACCTGTCATGATTTTTTTCCTGAGGCCATGGGAAGGGGGATCCAGGTTTTGAAGGAGGCTGGGAGTATATAGCCCCTTTCAGATTTGGGTGAGACAATGCTGGAGAGGAGTTTTTGCCAAAAAACCAAAACAGAACAAAACAAAACACACATAGCTATCTGTGACCAAAAAGCAATGCTGACAGAACCCTATAAAATCAGTCAATGAATATTCCTTTCTTTTATCTACTTGTGTATGTCATTTCCAATTTTAAAAAATACATCTGCTATTTGTTAGTCTCATGGGTTACAGAGGACACTGGTTTTAACCACAATTCCCATCTCTTTTTCTATGAAAGAAGTTGATTTGGGACTAGGAAACCTTTTAAAGAAAATATTAGGGAAACAAAATAAAACCAAAAAGTTTCTATTAAAGTTGTCTTGAATTGTGAGTACAGACCTCTTGATTTTATTCTTGGAAATTTTTGCCTTTTATGTAATTAAAAGGGGAGAGGGGAATTAGGGGGCTGGAAAGCAATACAAATTCTTTGTAGAACTGATGATACAGTGTGATTGAGAGACAGGATCTCAGCTACAACTGTGAAAGCAGAACAGTGAGAAACAAACTCATCAGATCTCTCGTGTTCAGACAGCCCTCATACACTTCCTTCAAGCAAAGCAAGGCTGCAAAAAATAAACATGCTAGTTCTTACAAGCACTAAAATTGCAGCTTCAGGAAGAGAGAGGTTCTTTTGTATAGTAACTATGTACTATATGCATAGTTATTATAAATAAATCCTGCAGTCTAACTCCATATTCATCTTTAACACTGCTTTCCAAAACTACAATAGCAATTCTATCTGTATTTTCAGTATTTATATATACTTTTTCTGCTCTTCTTACCTAGTATATCGATGTTTTATACTTTTTTTCAAGTAAATTCTACTCCCAACATGGGGCTTGAACTCAGGTCCCTGTGATCAAATCACATGCTCTACCAGCTGAACCAGCTGGATGTCCCTATGTTTTATACTTTAAATGGCATCTGAGTTTTTCCCAAATAGACATAGTATTTGCATTTTGATTTTATATGAAATAAACATTTGCAGTCCTAGAACATTGTCATATATTGACTGTTCTCGGAATTTTTATATTGTTCCTTATTTGTATTGATTTTTTTTTATTTGTTCTTTTCTCTTTGATGATTGTGGCTCATAATTCACTTAAAATGTAGCCCATTAAAAATGATCAAATTTGCAAATTTATAATCAAATAATATTCATCAATGCCAGCAATGGTGCAGCCAAACAGGTAAATGCTGCTGGTGGGAATATAAATTAGTACACTCTTTCTGGAGGGCAATGTGACAAGATTTTTTTCTTTACCTTAAATATGATCATACCCTTCATTTAGCATTACTCTTTGTAGGGCTAATCTTAAGGAAATAATAGAACGTACAGGTATATTATTTGTAATAACAACAATAATAAAAAGGACATGGCTTAAATATCTGACAATAAGAAAATGATTACATGAAGCGTAATACATTCCTATGATGAATTATTATGTAACGATAAAATTGTGTACAAGAATTTTTAATGACATAGGAAAATGTTCCTGGTATAGTTAAATGGGAAAATAAGATATAAGACTTTTGTATCCTATTCTGTATGTAGGATAATCTTACATATATTGAAAATGAATCAAAATTGATTACCTCTAGATGGTAGGATTGTCAATAATTTTTCTAAATTTTCCTGTAATTTTACAAGGATTTTTAAAGCTTGCCTATTAACATTCAATTGAAACAAAGTTTGGTAGTTTACTATTTACATAGAAATTATTACTGATTTTCAACAAGGGAAAAATCTCTTTGGCAGATTATAAATACTGGGGTGTTTCAAATATTTTTAAAATCCAAAAGCTGAAATTCTACACAGTCTGGAAAAAACAAGAGCTTCAACATATGTCAAACCCTCTAATTAATAATCCCCACCACCCAGAAGAATACCTGGAACACAGTAGTGATTCACTAGCTCAGTGTTTATGAAGAGCGGCCTGAGGCACATTATTTAACCAAAAACTGGGAAATAATAACTTCATTTTTTTTCCCATATAAGAAGAAGATACTCTGCCTCTCTCTTACATTTCTGTACTAAATAAGACTACCAGGACCAAAAATTGAAACAAATTCACATCTGAAAATACTTGTACTAGAGATACAAAGATGAGTAAGATTAAGTCTAGAGCTATGTACCTGGGTAGTCAGGCCTGCCCTAAGGAGACTGAATAAGTAGAAATTTTTCCAGAATTACCGGGGGGGAACTTATGGATTTTCTGGAATCCTCTCAATCCCTACCCAGACACAACTTTCATAAAGGTTGTGGATTGTTTTGAGGAGTTAATGTTGGCCTGAAGAGAAAGTGGAGTAAGTAGCAGCCTGTAATTTGAGGGCCTACGAGCAAAGTGGAGCTGAACTGGTTATTTAAGATCTCTATAGGGGCGCCTGGGTGGCTCAGTCTGACTTCAGCTCACGTCATGACCTCATGGTTTGTGAGTTTGAGCTGACAGCTTGGAGCCTGGAGTCTGCTTCAGATTCTGTCTCTCTCTCTCTGTCTCTGTCTCTGTCTCTCTCTCTCTCTGCCCCTCCCCTGCTTGCCCTATGTCTCTCTCCCTCTCTCAAGAATAAATAAACTTTAAAAAACAAAACAAAATCTCTATAAATACTTCCATTTTATACTTCATTGGAAGTACCCTGTCCCCAAATTTTTATCCAATCACCTGTCACTATAGGAAAAATTTCACCATTTGCTCTTTTAGTCTTAAAAACCTGAGTCTTTAAAAGTTACAATTAAACTGCAGATACACTGTGGTCTGGAGGAGGACACTTTCTGGTATGGAAAGCTAAGACCTGCATCTGGAAGAGAGTCTTTTCCAGAAAAGAAGTGAATCTGTGACAACAACACTAACTGGGCCTTACCTCAGTTCTGTACAGTGCTAGCTTCGAGGATAGAATCTTGTGGAATAGTCTGACTGACCCAATATTGTCGTAATTGTTAATACTTAACTAGATTCTGTGCAATTATGGCAATCATCTTTGGGAACTGGACTGAAATGAAGAGAATACACTTTGCTGATCACTTTGGGGGATGGGTACAACTTTCATCTCTTAAGCTGAACATAGACAAAATGAATTATATTGGTAAGGAAGTTATTTCTCTGAATACATTGTCATTTTGAAAATTAACCCTCTGAAAGAACTAAATACTATGTCAGTGCATTTTTTTATAAATGATTATTTCCTTTTTATTTTATTTTAGAGAGAGAGAGAGAGCACGAGCGGGGAGAAGGGCAGAGGGAGAAAGAGAGAATTTTAAGCAGGCTCCATGCTCAGTGAGGAGTCCAATATTATGGAGCTCCATCCCATGACCATGGGATCATGACCTGGGCCGAAATCAAGAGTTGGACGCTCAACCGACCAAGCCACCCTGGCGCCCCTATTATTCCTTTTTATATTATGAGGAAACCTAATTGATTTTTTGCCATCTGTGTTTGCCATAAGATAGTACTTTTCTAATCATTCTATATAAAACAATCCAGGATTTGGCAATAAGAACTTTGTGTAGTTTTGCTTTGCATGCTTTTTTTTTTTTTTTTAAGATTTTAAGTAATCTCTACCTGCAACCTGGGGCTCTAACTCACAACCTTGAGCTCAAGAGTCACATGCTCTACAGACTGAGCCAGCCCAGTGTCCCTGCTTTGTGCACTTCTTAAGCTGCTCAGGAACACAATTATTAGCTGTCTCCGATATTTTATTATTTTTGTATTAGGGAATGGATGGGGTTGATAATTTTTCAGACAAGTAATTCTGTAAAAGAGCCAGGTTGAAGAAATACTGTATAAATAAAAGTAATATACAGACAGTTTAACTTCTGAACATAGAGGAGGAAATTTTATTAGGTAAAAGCAACGGATTAAAATATGTAACAAAAATTTTCCATGTAACTCAGTAACTCCATTTCATACTAACATACAGAAAATAATCACATTATAGAATGCATTTATATCACTTATAATTATTGTAATTCATTACAGTTATAGTTTAGTACAGTCAAAATTTAAGCCATATTTCTTTTCTAAATCTACTTCTACAGTCATTATGTGAGTCTCTACTGTATTGATCTGGCACCTTTAATTACAGGTAATCTTTTATCTTGTCTGTTTCCTACTTGTTATAAGTCTGCAGGTTCATATGCTTCCCAAGAGATTAGCTATAGTTTTTTTATTTTTTGTTTTTTAGAATCTAACACTTTTCTAAACTTATTTCTCTTAAAGCAGTTGAATTCGTATGAACTCAAAGTCTTTACTTCTCCTATCCCTTCAGGCCCCTATACCCACTACCACATTCTAATTAACTTTCATTCTAATTAACTTTATCTAAGTTTTTGTTAGTCTAATTATTAGAAGGAATATTCAAGTTATCATCCCACTTTATAGCTAGAGATTTTAAATGACTTAACTTTTGCACATACTATTATATATACTGTAAGTTAGATTTCTCTGTGTAATTCTTTACTAAAACATTTGAAGAAATAGGCATAAAAACAAAATAAGCATTTCTGGAAATATATAACATCAGGATATTGCATAAGAAACAATAATAATAAATAATGAATTGGATAGACAGTTAAACAAAAGTAAAACTATGAGTATCTCACAATAAGGAAATAGTATGGCTGTAAGATTCATATGGTTAAGAAACGTGTGTATGAGCATATATATATATATATATATATATAAAACAAAGTATTTGAAGCCAGGTTAAAATCTCCTCAAACATTTCATTTCCCGGTGAAAGGTGTTTTGTTTGGTTTTTTTTTAAACACATCAATCATTGTTTCACTCAATACTTAGTTAAATTTTATCTTGAAATTTGAAAGCTGAGAAATATGGTATTATATGTTAATACTAATAAATACTAATAAATATTTAACAGAAACTCATTCTACCTTATTAGGTTATATTGCTAAATTCAGAAGAAAATAATGTGTCTTAAGATACATTCTTTTTGTTGTCTGTGATTTATGAAAATCTACTATTGAAGTAATAACCACTTTGGTTTTCATTTGAGTTAACAGGCTTAAAGGGAGCTTCATTAATATTAATAATCAAGTTTGTGATGAGTATATACAGTGAAAAAGGAGGAAGGGCAAATGTTACATTACAACGAGTAATAAGTAGATTATCTTTTCTTGTTAAAAAATTGGTCTCATTGTTTTTTTCTCTGTACCCACATCTCTTTATTTATACTCTAAACTGTAGATTTTGGAGTGTAATTTTTTTAATTGTCTAACTACATTTCATAATATGTAAACTGTGATTGAGATTATTTCAATTTTAGGATTATATGTGTTTACACAGATACGTTATTATCTCTTTATAATATATTTATGGTAGCCTAGCAACCCCTTTTATTTTAGAAGGGACCATGGAAGATAATTAGCATATAAAGTCTCATTTTAGTGTAGCTTTAACCACTGATGCCATATGAATATTCTGTTACTTTTCTTTAGCAGATTTTCCACAAATACTAGGAGAGTCACCGTGAATCAATTTTGTCACAGCAAAGTGATTCCAAAGTGATCTTTACTGAGTTTTCTTGGATCCTTGAAACTGGAACCTTTGGGATTGATGAGGTTTGTCAGGAAGACAGAAAAGATGGTGTCACTTCAGATCTGATATTCCTGGGTCTGGACTTAAAGATTATCTGTTGAAGATTGATTCTTCCCCATGTCCTCTCCAAATTCAGATCTCACTTCTCCAGAGGTTTAGAAGGCCCTATTTCACCACTGCCACACAGAAAAAGACAAAACTCAAGAAAAATAATATTACAAGTTGACTGCTCTACAAGATACAACATAATTCTTAGGTCAGAATTTCATGGTTTGGGGTACTAGGCCAGCATAATATTACTAGAACAAAGAATGGAAGCAAAAGCATAGTTCCTGGGAATTAAATTTATTTAATTTCTTCCTTAATGTAACTCATTGAACCCTTCAAATACAAGGTGTTCTTACTACTAATACAATTCTTCAACTTTAGGGGCACCTTTTTTCTTGTGATTTAAGCTAGAATGGGTAGGACACACACAACATGAAGAGTAAGAGGTCAGCCAGGTAGAGGAAAGTAGGGAGAAAGGAAGCAGTTAAGAGGTCTTTCTTCATTCAAATCAAATAATTTTACAATGTGCTTTAACCTTTTTTTAAAAGTTTATTTATGTAAGTAATCTCTACACCCAAGGTGGGATTCGAACTCACGACTCCGACATCAAGCACCACATGCTGTACTGACTGAGCCAGCCAGGTGCCACACGATGCATTTTAACTTGTTAATGGCAAATCTCTGATTGGAAGATCTATCTAACAAATTTAAAAGTTCATGTTCTTTTTAGTGAGTGCCTTCAGCCATCACACTAACATTGTTTTCTTCAAATATTAAATGTTGCACACTCTGCAAACAAAAATAAAGTACACACATGAACGCTGAGAAGGAGCTTTCCTTCAAATTCCTCAGTTCACAACTCTCCTAAACTGCCTCAGTGATTCTGGGTAGAATTGTATTTTTTGCAACAATGCTTTACCCTATTTTTTTTTTTTTTTAAAGAGATTGTCTCTTAAAATATTTTCTCCCACATCAGGGAATGCATAAGCATTTGAAAGAAAAGACGGCCTTCATAATCTGGATGGAATTCTATTTCTGTCATCCAAAAATGAGCTTTGCTGAGTCTGACTGGTATTAAGTACAATAAAAACAACATAGTAACTTCTGAAACAAAGCTTAAGTGGGGGCTTCCTAGGCTGTCCTCTTTAAACTATTCCTTTCTCACATAGGTAAGTATAGAGAGTCATGCAATTTTTCTCACATAAAATTGTTAATATTCCTGATTCTGAAAGGAAATGTCTTTTACATATTTGTCATCCCCCGGCCTGAGAGTTTCCTGTGACGTCTTACTTGGTCACAATGATGATGAGTGTATGGATACATTCGATTCAGAGCCAAGTACTGCACTACAATGTTTACACCATCTTTTTTTGTCAACAAATGAGTAAGATAATGAGAAATTCTAATGGCTTCCTGCCCCCTAGTGATCTGTGGTCGATTTTGATAGAAAGGATGAACAATTCTGTCACTACCAATGGACCTCAATGATTTGGTTCTCCTGGATATAAGGAAACGATTTAAGCTTCTTAATGATAAAGTCAACTAAGCACCTGAATATAAATATGTAAGTGGTAATAAACGGGTTCAAAATTAGCATGTTTACAAGCTATTGTCATTTAGTTTGTATTTACCAATACTCACAGACATAAAAGTCCTTGCATTTTAAATCCTTGCATCTTTGCTTCTTGCCAGCATATAAATTTATAAGTAGCTACATTTCATCTGGTTTTAGTATAAGACTCTTCTGATATGTTACCACGTAGTATGTCCTTGAGTTTGCTAGAAGGCAATGAAAGTGGGCCACCTGAGTAATTATAAAGGCATCATCCATGAGTCTTCACCATCTTATTCTCTTTTCACTCAAAAAATAACATTTGGCAGATGGTAGAAAGACCATTAAAGTAGTAGATTTAATACCGTAGTAGTAAAACCTACTGTATAGCTTTTAGAAATCGGGCAATAGACGTATCAAGTTAAAATCAGATTAGATTGGGAGGGGGATTGTTTCACTTAAACCATTAACTGTTCTTTTTTTTTTTTTTAAGTTTGCCGCTAGGTTAGCGTGCATAAACGGCTGTCGTTTCCTGAAACTGTCTTTCATTTCTTTTATGAGTAAGACTGTGTTTATAAGTTTACACTAATATTTTTGGTAAATTGAACTATAAAGAGAATAACCAACTTTTGATTTTAGACCAACTTACATTACTCTATAATCAAACCAATCACAATATGCCAATTAAGAATTTTGTTTTGTTTTTTAGCCAAAGACATGAAAATTTTCTTATCCACATCATCTGTTAAGGCAAAAAGAGGAAACTAGTTATTCTGGGGTCCTGGCTTTTCTTGGGAATACTTTCAAACGGCTGGAATTATTCAACTCATCAGTCTCATAACCAATAAAATGGTGATTGCTTGGAGATGAAAACATAAAGGCCAGGAATAGGGAAAATAGAAGGGGAAAAAGTCACAGTAAAAGTACAGCAGTGGAATTCAAATTAAATTTTAATTGGGCACTTACAATGGGTCTTCCCAAATGGCTGATTATACCACTAAAGGTTTAAGTTTAAATAAAGGAAAATTAAAACACGTCAATAGTCAGGATTTATTTCTAAAACATCACTCTGAATGTGACCCATTCAAATACAAAGTTTTGAGTCCAACTGATATGTTTCCACATTATTCAATGCGTTCATTAAGTACCTTACCAGGCACAGCAGATCACAGATGCAACATGGAGCACAGAGTTTCATAGGAGCTTTATCACACGTGTTCCTAGGCTCAAAAGGGCCTCCTTTGTACTTCTTGGTAGGTGAGGTATGTGGCTGAGTGGTTAAGTACAGGCATGTAGAAATCAAATAGGTCTAGGCTCAATTCTAGCTCTTGTGGTTAATTTCTGTGTGATCTTAGGAAAAATACTCAAGTCTCTGTGAACCTCAGTGCCCCATCTGGAAAATCGAAAGAATACTTACCTCATAAGGCTGTGAGGCTTAATTAAAATTGTGCGTGTAAAGCACTTGGCGGAGCATAAAGAGCGCTAAGTAAATGGACGCCAGGATTACTAAGGGAGAGCTCTAGGATGCATGGATCAAGGGCTTCCTAATCTGGGCGGCATCTTCGTGCTCTTAAACACCCAACAGCACCCTACTGGCTTCACTTGGCTGGCATGCATCCTGTCATCCCGTTCCCTACACCTCAAGTATCAAGGAGATGGGGGGCATTCCCCAAGGATATGTCCCCACACAGCTTTTTGGCACCCTGGTGGCCTAGGCATTGTATTGCTATGCTGCCTGAGGAACGCTGGCATTTATCACAGACAAACATTTGTTACAAAGGAGGCGGGGCCCGGTGAGGAAAGATGAGGAACTGATCAAGTAGATTCATGGAAAGCAAATTAATTTTAACTCACAAAACCCATTAAAAATCAAGAAACACGCCACACTTCTTTACTCCCAACAACGTGTACTGATACACATTTGGGTTTTCTTTTGGTTGGTACTAATTCACCTTGTTGTTAACAATGACAAGTTTTAGGTTTACTTTAACTGTTAAACTGATTATGAGGGGGGATTTTTCCAGAGATCTATTATATATGGAAGTTCCTTAACTTGTGGTATAGAGGAACAAGTATTGTTTAACCAGGGAGAAAGTTGCCAACCATCACTAGCCTCTCTTCCTACTTTTTTAGAATAGAAAAGTTAGTATATTATCTCAAGCATTTAGGCATATCCTTGGCATGTTCACAGCAATTGTTTCACCAGGCATTTTATAGCTGTAATTATTTTAATGTATCAGTATTATTTTAACCTACCAAAGCACTTCAATCTCTACTCTCACCTAAAACAATCCCAAATGTTTATATTTTATTCAACTCCTACATCTCGTTCGTGTTTTTGTTTTCAACTACAGCACTTAAATACGATTTTTCACGTCAGTCTATTATTTTTCCTTTTGATTGGTGCTCTGACTGCCCTAGCAAAGTTTGTCCTTAATTCTTTTAGTTCTATAACTAGCCCCTAGAATCCCTGTTCTTTCTTCTAAGTTTTGTCCATATTCGAACTTCATACATTAAACTAGCCTTGTACCATTTCACGCATGAGAGTCATTTGCCTCAATAGTTTTACTTTAAAAATATGGGTGAGATTAAGACAGATTTCTGAGTCCTACTGCACTGCCACCCTGTTGTGCTTCGTTAATCTGAGATTCTTAGTGGTGCTTATTACAGAATTATAAACATCCACGTTGCACCGTAACCGGTGACAAGCTTTGATAGGCACGGACTCCATTTCTCTAAGATTTCTTGCTGAAGAACAAAGGCCCTTTAAGCAAGACTCTGTTTGTGAGACACAAGATTCCAAGATATCTGTCTAGATTTTCCCTTCATTTTTGGATTCGGAGCCTAATTACATAAGTTGTAAAAGGCAGGAGGAGAAGGTAGCTTCCACAACCTCGATTCATTGCCTTCACAGCACGGAGGGCAAGAAGCAATAGCAAGGAGGTACAGCTCTGTAACCCCAGGAAAGTAAGGAAGTCAGAGGAAACTGGGTTGGAGAGAGGTGTCAGACATTTTTCATTCCCCTTAACTGTAAGAGGCAAGTAGCTTTTAAATGTACTCTCTGCCTTAATGAGGAAAATTTGTACATTATACCCACAGGAGACTGTGCTGCCCTATAGCTGGTTCCAAAACAAAACAAAAGTTGTTCTGAGTAATATGGAACTGGAAGGACACATGGTGAGGTGGGGCTTCGCGAAACCATAAACTTCTCAGTTATGTAAAGTTAGACATTATGTTCAATGTTTATATATTTGCTTGCTAATTGTTGGCTGTCAGTCCATGTCAAAACATTAAATTAACCCTCCCTTTTCCTAATGGAATAGACAATCCTTTTTTACAGCACGGTAGTATTTAGAAACCACCCTATTCTTTAATGGTGGGAAGCCACTGCAATCGATATTGGTGAAGATCATGGAAAAAAGTGATTCCCCCTAAAAATTATGTTCAGTGAGATAATTCTATCAATAGTTTGGAAATTCGTTGAGTTTATCTTATCTCGTTACGCAACCCTCTGACGGTCTCTGGGTTTGTTACAGAGCTTTTACCAGGTTCTTATCAGTAATATATACACCATATTTCAAGTGGCACTCCAGATTTAATTCCTTGATAAACTACTGTGTCCAAGACTTAGCTGAATCACTTTTCCTGCTTTTTCTGCTAGGTGGCTTAAAAAAAAAAAAAAATTCCTAACTTCTTGTTTATCTATTAGTGTATTTCCCCCGTCTCTATTTCCCATTATCTTAATACCACATGCCACCTGCACTGTCCCTCTTCTTACTTAATCCTATTCTTACTTGTATCCCCACAAATCTCCGAGCTCACACTGTGCTCCAGTACTTCCTTCTCTTTCAGCTAGATCTGTGTTCGTCAGTGTCTCAATTCTCTTGGCAATTTTTCCTTGTATGCAAATTGTATAGGAAAATAGGACTTGCATACCTTAAAAATCTGACGTAAGCAAAAAGAGCAATGCTGTTAAGTTACTGTGCATAATTACAGAATTGTATGTTTAAATACAGACGTCACTTAAAACCCCTTGCGTTATGAGAAGGGTATGACAATGCAAGTAATTCACATTAAAAGGCATTCTATTCGGTAGATGTGTTTATTGGTGTGTCGGCTGTGCCAGTGTTTTAATTCACATGTAATTCAAGGTAGACCCTGTGCCAGCAACAACTAACAATGATACTCCTTTAACTAAAAATGATAAGCTATTTCTACTTATATGCTCTGTGATTATTTTATAGTCCTCAAATTTTGTAGTCCTTTACAGAAAAAAATAGTAATAAAGCATGGCGATAAACTGCAATTTGCCACAACACGTTTCCTCCAAATCTTAGTATAAAACACAAGACATTTTTTTGCACACTCTACTTTTATAGAACAACCAGGTTTGTAATTGATTTCTTTATTTTATTTGATTTATCAATATACATGGCAGCTTTCTCAAATCTCAAAGTTAAGTTCCAAAAGTATGTAATTTTAAAGATGAAAAATCATTTTCCTTTAGATGTCATATTCCTAGAGAGCTATTAAAGTCTATTTATAAACAAAAATAATTGATAAACTAATACACTTTAGAAATCAGAATATTTTAAATTATTTTAAATGAATACAAGATATGTCTTTTTAATTAACTATCATAGTTAAATTTAATATCACAAAACAAAATGACATGTCCCCACTAATTTCTCCAGTGGGGTAAAGTCATTGGATTTTACACTTAATATAAGTTTTAAATGTGATTATTAAATGATAATATTTTATCAATTATAGGAAATATTCATTTATAGGAATTTCCTTAGGTCCATCAATCTTTTTAGGCCAAGTTTGAGCCCATGTCAACCTTCAAGTTTAGAGTCAATGCACCTAGCCTGCCTAACAAGCATGTCAATTAAAGAATATGGATTTCATTGATAAAAAAAAAAGGGGGGGGGGAATAAACAGTAGCTAAATCACTGTTCAACTTACCAAAAAAAAAAAAAAAGCTAATAGCAAATGAGATAGTTTCCAAGAATTACTTTAAAAAGTTTTTTTAAATAAACACAAATGGCCAATGATGTTGGATTTAAAATTTCACAGGATAACCTTACAAAAAAAAAAAAAAAAAAAAAACCCACATAGAAATAGTAAAGTCATCACCTTATGATAAAAAAACTAAAGTTTAATAGTCATTGAAGGGGTAACAACCACTTGTAGTCTACATTGAAAAGTAATTTTAATCATAGCTAAAACAAACTAAAATCAAAGAATTCTATGAAGAAATAACAAAAATGATAAACATTTAATAACATCTAAAATGTAGATACTTAAGATCCTAAACAAAAATATTAAAGGTAAAAGGGCCTTGAGATCTTTCTCCAACAATTCATCTTATAAAATCAATTTCTAAATAGCTCATATCCTTTGCTTTGGTGTTTTGTCTGCTATCAACTAAACGTGAGTACAGTAGAAAATCACTTATGTTCTTTTCAAATGCTTGGCATTATAATGTGATCTCATATCTTTCCTCAAATTAAATTTGGCTCCACATATTCCACATGTATACAGATGAACATCCATGTGCTGTTCCAACTGTTCATTATTTGGGAAAATCTGAAAGCAGACCTGGCATATAGTCTCACCAGCAGATAAATGAGAAATCATATGCCGTACATGGTCATGTTTTCTGAAGTTGCCTTGATCACAAATGGAACAGACATACCTGGCCATGCCTTTGTGCATATCATTGTGCAGTCGCAACTGACGCTCTCTTAAAAACTGCTTTCCACATGTCTGACAGACAAACTGTTTCTCCTTGGTGTGAACAGTGTAGTGTTCTCTCAAGTGGCACCGCTGATAAAATCCTTTTCCACACAGATTACAAAAATGCTTTCGTCTGTGATCTCTCTCGTTTTCTTCCATGATGGCACTCTTAAACACATCTTGGTCTAGGCAGCTAGACATATGTTCAACCACCAGGTTCTCAGTTTCAAAACGCTGGCCACAATTCGGACATCGGAAAGGACAGGCAGAATGTTTAAATAACTGCTTTTTTTGGATACTGTTTATCTGGAAATGATTGTCCCTGAAATCATCCAACATTTCAACAAACATATCTCTTATTTCTGACTGCTCATCAGGATTCTCTTCCATGTCCATTTTCTCCTCGGCATTTCCTAAGCCATTCATTGTCAGATCTTGGGGTTCTCCACATCTCTGCGCATGTTCCTGAAGCTGTCTGCCCTTAACAAGGATCTGTCCGCATTTACCACACGCACAGATATTTTCAATGTGTTTGGCTAAGTAATGGGATGACAGGTCCTCCTCGGTGATTGTGAGTCCGCACAGCTCACAAGACGCATTTTCGGTATCCTCTTGAACCGGACTGCTGTTGTTAGGGGGCCTCATACTTTCTAAACCTCCTCTTTCTTCAGCACTTATTGACATCCGAGGTTTTAGAGTTTTCCTACCACTTTTTTTAATACCGATCTCTTCTTCAACATAGTATCTATAAAATGGCTCTTCAGGTTCATCTTCTAATTCGTCGTTGTCAGTGGATTCGTTACAGTCTTTATCAGTAACTTTAATGATGTTAAAGTCTTTCAGTTCGTCTGTAGGAATATCTTCTGGCTCCATCTTGATAATGATTCTTTTCCTTTCGGCAGCTCTGCTTTTTTCTTCGCCGGCTAGCTCAGACTCCACGGTGCTACTTTTTCTGCTTCCAGGGGTTGAAGTCGAATCCTCGGCCGCCTGGCTCGGGTCTCCTCTGTATTTGTCCGTCTGCGTAGAAAATGTTTTAGAAGAATCCTTTTCACCAAACTCAGCTTTGATATTACTGTCTTTTCCATCTCTAAGATCCACTATTCTGTGGTAGGATCTTGTGTTTTGGTACGAATGTCTGTTAGTACAGGTTAGCACATGCTCATCTAATAACTTTTCACAGCTAAAGCCAAATCCACAGCTGTCACAGGTAAAACTCCGTCCAAAGCGTCGTGACACGCGTTCTTTTGGAGTAGATAATTTGGACACCGAACTTTTTTTACAGACATCAAACAGTGGTTCCGGAAAATTACCTAGTTGTAAAGACTCTTCATCGGGCTCTCTGTTATGTGGTGTATTTACGGTTGAACTGGGTTCTGCACACCACCTATTGGCCTCACTGCCATTTCTAGCCACTGTGTCTTCATACATTCTTACCCCAAAGATCATTTTGCTGTTCTGTTTGCTAGAAGCAGAAGATGAACACTTGGAACTGGAACAATCTGCATCCTGTATGTCTTCTAAGCAGTCAGGAACATTGTACAGCTGTAGATAGTTCATTGCCACTTTAAACTGCTCAAAGCTAGAGGGAGCAGTCATGATTTTTCCTAAATACATAAACTGCAGAATGAGATCAAAACACTCGGCACTAATTTTCATGTTGCTGAGATTCAGTTGCGCAGTACTGTGCTGATGGTTCATGAAAAACATTCTAAAATAGGAGCTACAGGCAGCCAGAACTGCTTTGTGTGCTTGGAAGTAAATGTCATCGATCGCAATACAACAGTCACAGAGAAAACCCCATTCCCTTTGGTTGTTTAGCTGCTGAAGGACGTAGCTGCTGTGGCTGGGCTTTGCCATCTTCTATTAATTAGAGACCTATGTAAAACAAAAATAGTAAAGTCAGACGAGATATCTTCAGAAAGCACCTGAAGAGTAATTTTGATCACACTTTGTGACTTGTGTGACTTTGCTATTAGAACAAAGGTATACGTAGTTTTCCATTCCAGTGTAGTAAAACTCAATAATATATACCTGAATGCTTTTTTAAATTTGAAGATGAAGACAGCCATTTAGTCAAGCTTCCCACTTTGATTTTAAGAAGCACAATGGGGGCACCTGGGTGGCTCAGTCGGATGAGCATCTGACTCTTGATTTTGGCTCAGGTCATTATCTCATGGTTCGTGGGATCAAAGCCCTCAGCGCGGAGCCTGCTTGGGATTCTCTCTCTCTCTCTCTCTCTCTCTCTCTCTCTGGCCCTTCCCCACTCACATGCTCGTGCTCTGTCTCTCTCAAAATAAATATTTTGTTAAAAAAAGAAACCCAAGGGGTGCCTGGGTGGCGCCGTCGGTTAAGCGTCCGACTTCAGCCAGGTCACGATCTCGCGGTCCGTGAGTTCGAGCCCCGCGTCAGGCTCTGGGCTGACAGAATCGTCAGGCTCCGATTCTGTGTCTCCCTCTCTCTCTGCCCCTCCCCCGTTCATGCTCTGTCTCTCTCTGTCCCAAAAATAAATAAATGTTGAAAAAAAAAAATTAAAAAAAAAAAAAAAGAAACCCAAGCTAAGGTATCAAAAACAAAAACCATCACTTTGGTTTCCTCAAACTATGTTGGGAATAACATTTACTAGATTTGAAAGGAAACAGTTTAAAAGTACCTGACGGATACAAACAATGAAAGTAAATAAAATAACAACTTAAACTGAAAGTTCATAAACTAAACTACAGAGTATTAAAAACTTAGGTAACGGGTATTAAGGAATCACTGCTCATATTTAAGTGTGTTGAATGTATTTTGGTTGTGTTAAAAGAGTCCCTATCTTTTAGATAAACACGCTAACATATTTATAGATGACGTGATATACCCTAAACTACACGTGAAAAAAATCCAGTGAGGTGGGTGCGGGGGCTATAGGTGATACAAAATTGGCCATTTATTGGCCATTTATTTTTGTAGGTTAAAAAAAAATTTTTTTAATATTTATTTATTATTGAGAGACAGAGACAGAGCATGAATGGGGGAGGGTCAGAGAGAGAGGGAGACACAGAATCTGAGGCAGGCTCCAGGCTCTGAGCTGTCAGCACAGAGCTTGACGCGGGGCCTGAACTCATGGACAGTGAGATCATGACCTGAGCCGAAGTTGGATGCTCAACTGACTGAGCCACCCAGGCACCCCCCACTAAAAATACTATTAATGTAGTGAGTTGACCTTGGGTAAAGGAGAGAAAAACATTAAAAGCACTAGAAGCCCTATCCATTATATTATAAAACTAAAATAGGATCCAATTTTAGCCTCAATTTTTTTTCATGGGGGCGGGGAGTTGGGGGTAGGGGGAGAGTGCACACAAGCAGGGGAGCGGGGCAGAGGGAGAGAAAGAGAAACTTAAGAAGGCTCCAAGCTCAGTGTAGAGCCTGACAGGAGGGCTCAATCCCATGACCGTGAGATCATGACCTGGGCCGAAATCAAGAGTCGGACGCTCAATCCATAGCCTCAGTTTTTAATCTGTATACATAAACTTCACTATCTTCTACTTAAAAACAAGTTCCTATACAACCTGAGCACAAAAAGAACATTTAACAAGCTGTTCAGAGACATTAAATGTTCACTCTTCAGTCCCCAAACCCTTCAATCCTTGCAATGGTAATTAAGAGGTATCTACAGTTTATTTCCACTTGCTTTTTATCTGTTCTTCACAGATCATATCTGGATCACACACCCTTTTTCCCCACTACCTAAAGACCCATCCCTCCTCCTTCTTCCTGTTCTTCCTGCCTAATGACACAGAGTTGCTTAGTCAGGGATATGCATCTAGTGAGTCTAGTAAAAAGACGGTGGCTTATCATGAGGACTAGCGCCTTCTTAAAATTGCAACCATTGTACCTTTTTGTAAGCCAAATCAAGCATGTCAATAGGCACAATATTTCAACCTTCTATAAGTCAGGTATCTATAACCAATGAGGAAGCATGCTTAGTATGTACCTAAATACAAAAAGCAATATATGCACAAAGATATCCATCAACATGTTATTTATAATTTGAAATGTCTGGTAATAAGGGAGTTGCAAGTGAACCCAGGTAAATCTACTACCTAAAATTAAAATTCACTGTCGTGTGGCCTTTAAAAATTAAATTAATGAACGAAGACTGCAGAAGAAAATGAGTAAGTTTCCAGGATGGAAAGTCAAGTAAATAAACAAAGGATATGAAATTATGTAACAATAACAATTATATAAAACAAATCCAAACAACAATCTCTTCTTCAAAGGGTGAGAAATACACACACACACACGTTGATCCCAAGCCCATTTTTTGTAGGATGAGTTTTTTTTGTAAAGAAGCTTTAACTTTATTGAATTCACAGCTTCTTAGACTTATTTATTTATTTTTATTAAAAAAAATTTTTTTTTCAACGTTTATTTATTTTTGGGACAGAGAGACAGAGCATGAACGGGGGAGGGGCAGAGAGAGAGGGAGACACAGAATCAGAAACAGGCTCCAGGCTCTGAGCCATCAGCCCAGAGCCTGACGCGGGGCTCGAACTCACAGACCGCGAGATCGTGCTGAAGTCCGACGCTTAACCAACTGCGCCACTCAGGCGCCCATTATTTTTTAATTTAAAGTCAAGCTAGTTAACATATAGCGTAGTACTGGTTTCAGGAGTAGAATTTAGTGATTCATTATTTACACTTAACACCCAGTGCTCATCCCAACAAGTGCCCTCCTTAATGCTCATTGCCCATTTAGCCCATCCCCCTACCCACCACACCTCCACCAACCTTCAGTTTGTTCTCTATTTTTTTATTTAAATCCAAGTTAGTTACATATAGTGTAACAATGATTTCAGGAAGAGAATTTAGTGATTCATCACCTACATATAACGCCCAGTGCTCATCCCAACAAGTGCCCTCCTCAATGCCCATCACCCATATTCCACACCCCCATCAACCCTCAGTTTGTTCTGTGTATTTAAGGGTCTTTTATGGCTTGTCTCCCTCTATGTTTTTATCTTATTTTTGCTTCCCTGTGTTCCCCATGTTCATCTATTGTGTTTCTTAAATTCCACATATGAATGAAATCATATAATTCTCTTCTCTAACTTATTCCACTTAGTATAATACAGTCTAATTCCATCCGCATTGTTGCAAATGACAAGATTTCATTCTTTTTGATTGCCAAGTTATATTCCATTGTGTGTGTGTGTGTGTGTGTACACACCCTATATGTATACATTTATTATATATTTATTATATATATATGCCACATCTTCTTTATCCATTCATCAGTCCATGGACATTTGGGCTCTTTCCATACTTTGGCTATTGTCAATAGTGCTGCTCTAAACATTGGGGTGCATGTGCCCCTTCGAATCAGCACTCCTGTATCCTTTGGATAAATACCTAGTGGTGCAATTGCTGGGTCATAGGGTAGTTCTATTTTTAATTTTTTTGAGGAAAGTCCATACTGTTTTCCAGAGTGGCAGCACCATAGGATGAGATTTCTAGGTCTATAGTCATTTTGTAGGATTCACAGAGAACTTTAATGAATAATAAAGAGAAAGGGGCAGAAGGATAGATGTTATCTCAAAACAAATCTCCTAATAAGAGTTGTTAAAAAATGAAACAAACTCTTCCGGATGATAACGAATGCCCTGCACGGAAGAGGGATGAAATGTCGATGAGGACGGGATGGGAGGATAGAAGGAAAAGAACACAGGCTCTGCGTCAGAGAGAGCGGAGTTCCAATCTAGCTTCGCCGCCTTTGGTAACTTATTTACCCTCACTGGTCCCAAATTTCCCGAACTTTCAAAGTGGGGATAATACGTCAAATAACATATCACATACAAGGATTCATATAACACGGCAGTGGTGGTGGTGGTCATGCATATTCTAAGCAGCAGGAGCTAAGTTTGACTAGTCAGCTAACCTTAAGGTTTCCTTCCAAACAGCAGTCTAGTAGGAGGAACACCAGCAGTTAATCTGTGAAGACGTGCAGGTTTTTCATATCCTGTGCTTAATATAATGACATAAAGACATTAGGGGAGCATGGGTGGCTCGGTCGGTTAAGCGTCCGACTTCGGCTCAGGTCATGATCTCACGGTCCGTGAGTTCGAGCCCCGCGTCGGGCTCTGTGCTGACAGCTCGGAGCCTGGAGCCTGTTTCAGATTCTGTGTCTCCCTCTCTCTCTGCCCCTCCCCTGTTCATGCTCTGTCTCTCTCTGTCTCAAAAATAAATAAACGTTAAAAAAATAAATAAATCAAATAAAAAATAAAAAGGTTTCCTTCCAAACAGTAGTCTAGCAGGAGGAACGCCAGCAGTTAATCTGCGAAGATGTGCAGGTTTTTCATATCCTGTGCTTAATACAATGACATAAAGACATTAGGGGCACCTGGGTGGCTCTGTCGGTTAAGCGTCCAACTCTTGATTTCGGCCCAGGTCAGGATCTGATGGTTCGTGGGGTTGAGCTCGGCGTTGGGCTCTGCCCTGAGAGCGAGGAGCCTACTTAGGATTCTCTCTCTGCACCCCCTGCCCCCCCCCCGCCGCCCCTTCCCTGCTTGTGCTCTCTTTTTCTCTAAATAAATAAATAAATAAATAAATAAACTTAAAAAAAAAAAAAAGAGCTGAAAAGTTCCAAGACCTAATCTAAATGGAAAGCAGGGTTTTTTTTTAAAAATTTTTTTAAATGTTTATTTATTTTTGAGAGAGAGAGACAGACCATGAGCAGGTGAGGGTCAGAGAGGGAGACATGGAATCCGAAGCAGGCTCCAGGCTCTGAGCTGGCAGCACAGAGCCCGATGTGGGGCTCGAACCCAAGAACAGTGAGATCATGACCTGAGCCAAAGTCGGACGCTCAACCGACTGAGCCACCCAGGCACCCCTAAATGGAAAGCAGTTTTATGGCCAGCAACCAAAACTGTTGCAAGTACATCCAAGACCAATATGATAGGCACCTCTCTAGAGAAAATCAGATTCAGTGAAGTTAGTAAAAATGCATCCGTGTTAATATAAACACTACACTAGAACAAGAGCACCAACAGAATTTGAACACACATTTGTCAATGCAACGAATATTCCTTGAGTGCTCTGGGGCACCAGGCACTATATAAAGTACTGAGAATCGGCAATAGCACAGGTATTCTGCAATCTCA